ACTGTGTAACACAACAACATTTTATACACAACTTCTCTTATATGAAAGACTTGGTGTTTAAACCACACTGAATTTCAATTCTAACGGAAAGAACAAATGGAATTACAATAAAAGGTATTTTTGTCATTACAGCTATGAGACTGATAGACTCGAGATTTGCTTACTCGTTACAACTGTGTTGCTTTTGTTTCCTACTACTAACTTTTTATAGGGAAGGAGTCCTCCGCTTTTGCCCTCCAGCCCCATAGCAAATAAACTGTGCGGCATGCCCCCAAGGGAAGTGCGAAGAGTCGTTAGTAAAAGCGCGCAATTACGACTATAGGAGCATTTAGATTACATCCGAAAGTACAAACTTAAAAAATAAAGAAGTTGTAAGAACTACCGTGCAAATATTACAACTATTAAGTAATATAGTAACAACACCTAAGATTGGAAGATATGCGCACAGTGTATACACAAAGAGCTTATACGAGGGGCGCAACAAAACGCATGCTTAGAAATGAAGACGTCATAGAAAAACCTGCACACCACTGCTCCAGCGTATGAAAATAGTCCACCAAGTATAAATGTTTAATCTATCACATAATCATCAACTTGATAGGAAAAATAAGATAAAATAAGCTATATTTTACATGACCATATTGTCGCATATTGTTGACATCATCAAAGAGCCTCACGTCTCCTGATACCACGAACACTCAGCTTAAGAGAGATAAAGTGAACATAAAGCATATATAAAATATCCAAGTACCAAAATACATTAAAAATAAATTCAACCTAGTTATAAGGTAATTATGCTTCAAATGATGTGATTTTTTTTAGATATGCACCAGTTCAGGTTTTCTTTATCAAACTAGTCACTGAGTGAAACTTGTCTCTAGCAAGGAAAACGTTTTCCTATCAACACAACTTAACCTTTTCTTCTCCCTTTAATCCCTTCATATGGGGTCGGGGTTTTCCTATCAACACAACTTAACCTTTTCTTCTCCCTTTAATCCCTTCATATGGGGTCGGGGTGTCTCGTGATACTTCGCCATTTAAATCTATCGCTCACCACATGGAGGTCTACTTGATTATTGTCCTCTTTAATACAATCCTCCCATCTCTTCCCCAGTCTCCTTCTCTTGCTTTTCACTTTTCTCTCTCTGTTGCCCATGTTACCAAATTGTTCTAACCCATCCTTTGCGCATGCCCATACCACATCAATCTTAATTCTTACACTTTCTCTTTGATGTTACAAATCGTCGCTTCCTAACTTAATATTCATGGAATATTTTAAAGCACAGTAATTGTTTTGTTAAGTACGTGTATTTTCATGTAATAACATTGCTTAGATAGCTTTAAGATTACCTTTTCCGTGACTTTAGTATTGTCTATTAAATCTTTGTTTTTCCTTTTTATGTTTTAACTTCCATAGAATTGGTAACTTAAACAGCTATTGTGCTATTGAGCTGCTGCTCATAAAAAGGGGACAATATGAAATTTTCATTTGACAAATCAACAATTGCTGTATTCATGTAGAACTAACACAGTCACATTCCGAGACGCTGAGGAAAACAAAGAAAGCTTTTGTCAATCACCTAAGATTCACAAGAAATCCAATTATAGAAGTAGTATGCATTTTTATATGCATTTAGTCTCAATTAAAGAGTGCACTCAACTCTTTAGACATGCCGGATTGGATAAATTCACGCAATGTGCTAACCATTGTTGAACATACGTGGTTTTGATCAATATGTTGCTGATTCATTCTAAATGAATTTTATGACATTCCTTGAAGCAGGGTTTAACCCAATATGTTGTAGGCGTTTTGTACACAGAAAGCGCATAGAAAGTGTATGAAAACGCTTACACAGTAATGAATATTACAAGAGCAACAAGAGGATAGACAATTTACCTCTTCTAGCACCGATTCCATATCTTAATCGAAGTTTCTTTCTATGTCTAGAAAAGTCATGGAATTGGTGCTAGAAGAATCAAATTGTTTATCTTGTAATATTGATCAATGAATAAAACGTTTTCTTGCACTTTCTATGCGCTTTTTAAAACGCCTACAAGATGTTGGGTGAAACCCTGCGTCACTAGAGATGTCATCAAATGTATTTGACAAATGCTGTTGGAATGATTCAACAAAGTATCGATTAGAACCATGTATATTCAACCATGTTGTAGCACATTGCTGGTATTTATCCAATCTGACACGTGCAAAGGGTTGAGTGAGTTCCTACTTGATTGAATAGAGATGCATATAACAATGCATAAAAGTTCTATAATTGGATTTTTTATGAATTGTAGATAATTAACAAAGGCTTTATTGGTCTTTCCAGCAGCCTTGACTGTGACTATGTTAGTTCTACATGAATATAGCTGTTGTTGACTGGTCAGATGAAAAATTCATAGCTTTAATACTGTTCCCTTTTGAGCTGCAGGTAACTGGCTCAATAGTTGGTCAAGTTGTCAATATTATGGAAATAAAAACATAAATATACAATACTAAAGCTAATCTTAGAGCTAATTAAGTAATGAAATATCATAAAAATATACATAGTTGACAACAAAATTACTGGGTTTGAAATATTTTATGGACACTAAGTTTTGATTGGAAAAAGAAAAATTGAAACCCCAAAGATGGAATTAGTATTATTATTGTTAACATTATAATATGTGCTGTGTATTAATAATAAATATTATATTATTTGAAGCATACTTACCTTATAAATAGGTTGACTGAATTTTAAACAAACTGAAATACCCGTCAACTGACGGGGAATGTTTAAACTTAATTTTAAAGAATGTAAGTTTAACAGCAATCATATATTTCAAAGTAATAACTTGAACATAAACTTTATTTTAAAATTTCAAAATTATAACAAAGCTTCTTCATAAACATTTGCAGTTTGCTTCCCATTACCAACAAATAAATACTTTGAGTTGATCTCACCCTTGAACACGCTACATCTCAATGAACATGAAAAAAACAATTGTTTGAGAAACAATCTAGCAACTCTTTTACTTTGACCTTGAATCCCTTTAGAATATTCAACGTTGTCTAAAGTGCCAACCTTCCAAGATTGTTTCAGATTGACCCAACAGCTGGGAGTAGTTAACCAACAGGCTTTAAAAAATAGAAATAGGGTTAAGTTCAGTTTTAACCATCTTAGGACATTCGAAGGAGTTAGGGTACAAACAAACACACATTTCGTCTTTATATATATAGATAGATGTATTTTGGTACTTGGATATTTCATATTTGCTTTGTGTCAATTTTATTTATTTTAAGCAAATTATTGGTGGTATCAGGATACGTAGGACTATTGAATGACGTCAACAGTATACAACAGGTTTCTAAAGTATGCAATGGTTATGTAAAATGTAGCTTATTTTAATTTTTACCTTCCTGATTGATGATTATGTGATAGATTATACTTATACTGGGTGGACTGTTTTCATGGGCTGTTGGGTGGAAGAGGACTCCCCCTCTCTATAAAGAATCAGTAGTAAGAATCAAAAGTAACACAACTGTAGCAAGAAAATCTCAAAATCTACCAGTGGCATAGTGGTAATGACAAAAAACATCTTCCATTGTAGTCCAATTTGTTATTTTTGTTAGAATTTATATTCATCATGGTTTAGACATAAAATCTTCCATATAAGATAAACTGTTGTTTTATAGTGTTTCTACTCAGGAAAATATACTATGAAAAACATATTTTGAAAAATTAATTGACAATGTCTTTCATTTGACATTTTATGCATGTATAATTTGTTTGTTTGTTTGTTTGAAGTTAAGCACAAAGCTACACATTGGGCTATCTGTGCTCTGCCCACCCGGAGTCTAGCGTTCCGCAGACATACCGCTGTACTACTGGGGGGGGGGGCTTGAATGTATAAAGATTCCCAAATAAATTTTAAGTAGATAAAATGAAAAATATTGATTGTTGTAATTAACAGTATGTTTAGCCAGGTTTTACCAAATAGAGATATGTCTGTATATTACACATTAGCTGTTTGCGTAGTCATTGAGGATAATTGTGGCTTATAATACCTATTAAACAGACAAGAATTCTGGACTATATAAACAATTATATGTGTAATTCAAATATAAAATTAAAGCTGTTTGGTTATTTTTCATCACATTTTCCCTTAAAAACCATGCGTAAGTAAGTTATGCTTCCATTCGTCATTTTAAGCACAAAACTACACAGTGGGCTATCTATGCTCTGCCCACCACGTGAATTCGAAACCCGGTTTCTAGCGTTGTAAGTCTGCAGACATACCGCTGTGCCACTTAGGAGGCTAGTTGTTCTAATATATTTCAATTGTTGTAAGCTACCTAATGCCTAGAGTATGCAAATATTGTTGAATTTATAGCAAAAAAAAATATTTAGCGGGTATGTGATGATATTAGTCAACAGCCGGATAAATTAGGATGTATCGTGTCAAAAAACTACAGAGGTGATTTGCAGATAACTCTTAGCACAAAGTCTGCGAGTATATTGGCTACACAAATTTGTACAGAACAAGTAGTGCCCTCTTGTTGGAATGAAACAACACAGTAATGGGTTTTTCACAATATGGTCTAGTGTTGCCTAGGACACATGAACGGCTCTTCTCACAGAAATTTGTATTCCTGGATTCTTATCTCTTACAAGACAATACACTTTGCCTACTACCACTGGGGTACGGCTAGTTATAGGTCTCTTGTGCCCCAAGTTGATCCATATTCATTTCTTTTCCAATGTCATTGAGTACAAGGAATATCCCTGTCTTGGAAATTATAAATCCCGATCTTAACACATCTTTATGGTCAAAGTGCATGAAACGTCGGACAGTTTGTTACATAACCATCCCAAAAGCAATCAATTTTCGGTGGCGTCCAACTACCTTCTCTACGCCACTCAATGTGAAAATGTAGTTGTGATACCTTCCGTTTCACCGCAACGTTATATTCAGCCCCCTGAATATGTTAATGTAAGCAATAAAAAGACATTTACTCCTACCTAATAGGAAACCATCCTTACTCCACTGGACTGCACCTTGAAGATTGCCAACTTGGCAACGAAGTATTCCTGTCAGACCTTGAACTACTTCCGTGTCTTGAGGTTTTTCGATAAAGTGCTGCTGAACTCCCACTGATCCTAGAAGAAGTGACACAAACCAACATAAATCTGAGAATTCAAGGCATTGTGCAAAATGCTCCGAAACATTGTTATCAATTCAAAGTGAAAGCGTAACAGTAAACCAACATTTTCTCTTTGCTTTCGGAATATTGTTTCAGGAATTCTTAACGTTATTAGTGGCTCTGCTAATATGTAATACTCATGTTAGAAATACGGTTAAAATTGGTAACACTAATTCTCTACATATAGAATGAGTAACATTTTTAACGCAACATAAAAGATTAATTTAACCAGTGAAAAATGTAGTAATTCACTGAGCGTTTAAAGTTAATAAGGTTTACAGTTCAATTAATATTTTTGACACCTTAATTGCTCTATTTATGTTAGTTTTATTGTTGAAGCTTATATCTTTAGTCAAAATTACCATAAATATGTAGAAATCGAAAGTTACACAAATCAGTTCTTCAGTTCTCTTATGAATAGTTACATATAATGCGTTTCCAGTAAAGACTTTAAAATTCAGCTTATAAACTTAAATGAAGTAAAAATAGAAAGTTGTATTTATTTACATTCAACTTTGCAAACCCATCTAATGAACAAGAGCTTCTTTATGACAATGAAAACAAATGGAGACTTTAATCCTAGAAATACTTGGAACAGGAAATATTTAGGTTTGTGATAGGAGTCAGAAGATTTAAGAAACGTTTGTTAGGGAGACACCTTCACTGCCATTCTTCACTTCCCCGTATACATGTAAATTGCGTGATTTTTTCAGCCTATACTCTGAATATTAAATGCGGCAGCAACAACTTGTATTGTATTTTTTTTTGTGAGTAAAAATAGATCTTTTCTGAACGCATGTAGTGACGTAACAAATCCTATTTATTAAAGATTTTAACTGCACACACACACACATATATATATGCTTATGTTTTCAGAATAAAAATCTGAAGATTTAACATACATGATTTTTTTAGTGTAAAATATTTTGTATACAACGAGAGAAAGAATATTATTTTTAGTGTATAAATAAATGTAGAATATATAATACGATTTGCGATTTTGTGATCAATTGAAGATATTAAGAAACAGAAAAATAGAAATAAAATAGGTTGCACAAATTGACATATTTTTGATTTAAATAAGAATTAAGCCTAAAAACTTCGTTAATATATAAACTTTAATTAGACATACAAAATATATAATGATACAGCACTTTACGTTGTAAACTTTTAGCTCACATTCCTTTTAGGCTCTAGTTTACAGGATTTAAACCAGAAATACGTGAAAATTAGCGTTTTACGTCCCTACATTAATTCTGCCACAGATTGACTAGAAAGCTTTTAGTTCATTACTGCAGCTCATTAATTAGACAAGACAGCAGTAACCATCTGAAATACCGGTTGTAAACGAAACTCAGAATTATTATCATAGTGATAGACGTCTAAGATAACATTCACATGACTAGAAACTTTAAGTTCAGTTATTCAACCATATATTTCGATATTTTAGTGTATCGCGCAAGGCTACTCAAGTGTTGTCGACTTCGCCGCTGTACAGGGAGTTGCAAAAGAGCATGACTTGGCATTTTTTTTGAATGAGAAAAAATCGCTTATAAAATAAACACATTTTTAGGAAAGGGGAGAGTGGGAAGTTAAGTAGTGTAAAAATTAAAATATTAAGCTAATTATTTTTTTATTTATCATATAAATCTATAAGATAGATAGATCATCTTAAATCTATGATTTACTGAGAATACTTAGAAAGAATTAAATAAATAATAAACAAAGAAACATAGGTCGATTATGTTATATTAAAACAATGTTTGTGAAGCATCACCACGTGGTTAGAGTCTATGTCGCCACATCCGATCTTATTCTAACTGAAGACAATTCATCTTAACAATAAACCTGCAGCGTAGTTTCCATTGCAAAAGGCTCCGTATTAGGACATAGGTTTACCAATACCCATTTCAATGTCCTGATTGCACAACACCCATTGTTATCGGATTCAGCGACTCGACTGGTATGTCTTCTTATAGAATATAATGAATAGCTCTTTCATTTTCCAGATACTTGAAGTATAGAACAGTTGAACTAATATGTCGTGGAGTAACTATTAGTGTGGCGTTGCCAGATGAAGATTCTTCTAGACTATATTGTGTACTATTGTCTGCGAGAAGTTTTACCACTGACCTTAGTGTCCATAGATTCTCACCTGTTACAAGTTGGCACTGTGCTTACCATGGCTGGGGTAATATTAGTTGCAGGTCTCTTTCTGTTGATCCATATTTCTTTGTTTTCGAATTCTATTAAGTATAATTGATATTCCCGTATCTTTATGATCTGAGTGTATGAATATTTTGCATGTGAATGATTGTTGCATACCCTTCCCAAAGGCGATCAGTTTTCGGAGATATCACACTACCTACGAAACGCTAAGCAATGTAAAAATGTTCTGATAGCTGCAGTTCCAACACGACTTCGTATCGAATGTGGTTGTCATATGACTTCCTGATTTATTTGTTCAAACTCGTTATAATATAACGTATTCGGGCCTCTGTATAACAACACTACTATCAGTACCAAATAGTATGAACTTATTGTTAGATATATACTACAATTCTGATTAAAGCCTTCTATAAATTTATTTTTTGCTACAATAAATAAGCCATGTTAAAACTCAGCAGATAAACTTTATAAGCACTCTTTCAATATATCGTAATGAGTCTTCTCACATTAGGCTCTCTCACGTTTCAATGTGAATGGGCCTAAAAAAATGTAGTAACTTATGTAAGACTAAAAACTGTATATGTTAGCTTCATTACACCCACTTTACGATATTAAGAGAATGTTATCTCATTAGATATACTAAAATCAACCCATGTGACCATAGCACTTATGGTTGTCTTGTCTCAATATAAACTAAACTAACAGATTGTAAATCTAGACTTGTTTATAGAAATTTAGATTATTTTAATTAGATCAACTTGTGAAATATGATCATTTTTCTAGTGATTTGTACAGTTGAGTGCAGCACACGAAGACATTATATTATTGTTACTCTTCCCTTTTATGCTCTTCTGTGTAGTCAGTTCAAGTCACACAATGCTATACTGAAAAAATTCTCTTTTCATATCCGCAGTATGGCTGCTAGTATATTTCCGGTGGCTTCAGACTAATCTCATATTTGGATAGTTACGTTTTTGCTTTTCGGATATTCACAAAGCTATCAAGGACTACTTGCGCTAGTCGTCTATAATTTTGAACTGATATATTAGAAGGAAAGTAGCTGGCTACTCAACAGTTTTCATCACCAGATCTTGAGCTGCTCTTGTCTTACCGCATAATTGGATTTGACTATCACCTTTATAACGCACTCACCCACCCAAAGTGCGGAACGTGATCATTTCTTTGGTAACGAGACGCTAACTATTCGGGTAATGGTCGCAAAACATGCTCATCTTTTAAACAGTGAGAGCGTTGTAACTTTACAACTAGTTTCACTATTCGTTGATAAATATTAGATCTAATCTATCATATCAAAATTAGCGACGGTCAACAAAGATAGCCCTCGAGTAGCTTTGCTTGAAATACAAACAAACAAACAAGCTATTCAACTCTGCCTTTCAAACTTGCTAAAGGAATTCTACAATTCAATTAAATGTAGAAATGGATGTTAGTAGGTTAGACCTTAGCAACCATCTCAAATGCTACTTCTAGATTACACTCAGGATCACTGTCATGCATAAATGACATTTAGCTGAAGTATGTAATGTACTATCTAAGAAATATCATGACTAAATGTTTAAAGTTTAACGTGATGTTTCCTCAGATTTCTCAGGAAACATAATATCCACAACGATGAATAAGATAATTTATGCTTAAGTAACTTGCACCCCCTATAGCGTGCGCAGGCATTAACACCATTAATAAACTCGACTTATATCTTGATTTTGATTTTAACAGCATTTTTGGTATTGATTGTTTGTAAGAATTAAAACTGCATGTACATTTTCACGGTTTAGTATTAAATCAGTATAACACAACGTAAACGATATTGACTTTTGAATAAGAGCAAATACATTTGTAGTATTTCCAGTGTTTATTTGCTTCGTATTTCTCATTTTATTCACATTAGGAATATAAACTATTGTGATTAATTAACTATAAGTCTTGTGTAAGATAGTTGTGTTATTTCAAATTAGAAAATACGCAGAAAATATACACCTGGAAAAAAGTTAAGCACCCCCATGTTTTTTTCAAGTGATTCAGATTCGACGTTCTTGT